GGAGGGGAGCGGCTGCGGAGCTGGGACAAGGCGTCAGCCGCGCTTGGTCACCTCCCAGTGAGGTAGTCGATGTTCCAGCAGGTGAGGTCGTACTGTGAAAAGCTGAAGTAGAGCCATAATACTAACTATTCCTTTTCAGCATCGAGCCATTAAAAACGTTTGGATACAGTTCTGAGATTGATAGATTAGATGGAATTTAGTGCTGTAACAACTCACAGGATTTTCATTTCTCTGAACAGATTGACTGAAGCCACCAAAGCTCAAAACCATTTTTCTTAGTATTATACGATATGCAAATTAGTCAGTGCTTACAACACATTAAAATTATAAATATTTTAAGCATAAAGCATATTTGGATGGGATTTCTGTCTCCAGCATCTCAACAACTCCGTTTAAAAGCCCCAAATTGCTCTTCCCTTGATTTATATGACTGAATACCAACAAGTGTTTGTAATATGAGCACAGTCACCAATATATGCATGCCCTTTGGACCCTCATTTAGCTAAAGAAATAAGCCAGTATAAAGAGTTATCCAGGTACCAGCCATTCTGGCCATTAAAGCAACATAGAGCAATGTCTAAATCAGACTCTTAATATACAGCAGTACTGCTACCCTACACTGCTGCTTGGGAAAGTCAGTGGAATCACATATTCGGTCTTCCGTTCAAAAGGACAGTATTACCATTAATAGGACACTTCTTAATCCACTGGTTTTACTCACTTTTATGTGTAGCATATAAGTTTAGGGTAAGAGAACAGAAGGATATGGGAAGAAGTCTGTGAGCTCTAGGCCTTTCAGGTAGGTGATTATAAAGGAAGGAGGTGGGGAGGTATTTGTTCTGCTTTTTATTTTTTTGGCACATACTCATGCCACCTAACTTCAGACACCTAGCAGAAAACATTTGCCCTAAGTTCCCCCTACAGGCAGTGGACAGAGATAAGCTTCTCTTGAGGGCTCACTTAAGATCTGGATAGTTTTTTTGAGATGCTTTTTTCTCTCCACTGATGAAAAGGTAGAATATAGGTAGACCAAACAGGCTTTTCACTTACATGATTCAGTTACATTCGGAAAGGTGGTTGAGGGAATATCTTCCTACACATAGGGAATATCTTCCTTCCTCTTTTTGTGGATAGATGTTTGCCTGTGTGGTGCAACTTCATTCATGGTAGCAAAAGTAAAGCAGTGAAAAGATGGCTCAGAAAAAGCCTTGGTTAGCTTTTTACAGGTACTGTTTCTTGTTATTTAGTACCAAATTGTGTACTACTGGATCACAGTACAATTTTAATCTGGATTGGGCATGAGCACACAGCTGTAGGTCGTCAGGGCAGAACAAAAGGATGTTGATGCTGAACTTGTGCTAGCTGTATGCTGCTTGAGTCAATGGTATTTTACCCAGTATAGATAAAGTGAAAATGGTGTGAAGACATGATATCAGACCTATTAACAGTTTGCAAAAAAAGTTATTTCCATTTTAAGCCAATCTGAACTGGCAAAGTAAGCTTGTATTAAATACATTGTGCTTTATAGTTATGTCACCTGTTAGATGGCCTGATGCTAGGTTTAATAGATCACAATATATTGTGTATTAAGATGCCATGGTCTGTTCCGTCATGGCTTATGTTGCTTCTGTGTGTCAAAAGTGAATATTATATTTACGTGCAGTTTAAAGAAGGAAGAACTGTGAAGGAAAACTGCTGTTAAATCCTAGAAGCAACTTGTTTAAAGAAAAATATGTTAATTGTAGCGCATTTAAATATAATATTTATATATGATGTCAACATGTATCTATTACTTAATGTTCATTTAACAAGCAATGTCTGAGGCTCCTTGTATGTTAAAGATTTTTTTTTTCCTCTGCGCTCCCGTTCTCTGCAAATTAAGCTTCTGAAGCAGGCTCCATCAATGAAAGTTTTCCATGGCAGGTAGGGGAAGCAGGGACTCAAACTCAAACAGTGATCCCTTGGGTGCCTTTCTCTGGCCCTATTTGAGGCATTGCATTACAACTGCAAATTAGTTAATTGCAAAAACAGTCTTTACAAAGCCTCCTGACATTTACACTTGGAACAGAATTGCTCTAGTAGACAGGCATGAGTGGCAGACTCATTGAAAATTACTGAGTTTTGGAGACTGAGTACTGCAGATTAAGTTTTGCCCTGACCTTGCAGAACTAAAGATAAAAGCATGCACATTTTATTAAAGTTAAAATTAATCAGGTTGATATTTTGGCAAGTCAGTGATATGGAATGTGATGCAGAGATTTGCAAGCCAGCACTTGGCTGATCTCATATACCTGCACAGCAGCACTGTACAGAAAAGTCCCGTCACCTTGCTGCCATGTCCGTGCCTGGGCCAAAAATGCCGACCCTCTCAGCCAGGCTTTGTAGCCTCCGAGTAGCCTTATGCTGCTATGCTTTGTACTGGAACTGGCATAGTTGGCACTGTGCTCCTTGTTGGAAAGACATACTCTCATCCCACCTAAAGGGTGGTGCTGAGACATCACAAGTGTTTGACTTTTCCTGGATGTATGGTGTGAGATAATTGAATTAATGAACGAGAAATTATCAAGAAAGATAATCTCCTAAAGGTTGGAATCTAATTGTTAAAAAAACTTTCCTCTCAGCACAAAAACCATATGCAACTCTGTGTCCACAACGCTCTTTTTTTTCCTACTCCCTCAAATTTAATCTACTGAAATACTAGTGTGGCATCAAGAAAAGATAACTACAGAGGGAAATTTCAGTCGTATCTTTGATTAATTCTTTTCCTGTACCCACTGCCTTTGTCATTGTAATGGGTCTGCATTCAACTACTTTTTAAAGTAAATAGAATTATGGTTGTAATCCAATTGCAGAAATTTGTACGATTTAGTATAATAGCCAGGTACATTTTGGAAAATTTAAACAAGCCAATGAAGCAATGAAAGGAATACAAAAAATCGTATATGTTAGGTGCAACCAAGATTCGTTGTTCTCATGTTTTTTTGATTTTACAAAAAATAATTATCACTTCCTTGCATTAGCACGGGGTTCAAGGCAGAAGCAAGGTTAATGACAGGGTGCTGTAAGGTTTGTAATTCGGCGTCTTAAAACATTTTGGGGCTGTGCAAAACAAGCAGGTTTTTCTTTCATTTGTAAGTCTAGTTAAGCAAACCTAGGCAAGTAAAAAGTCTGTCGGAAAATGGACACCAGCATTTTGAGCTGTGTCTTACTTGGTAGGAAGGTGGTACACACTTACTTTTCTATGATGCCTGTTGTGCCATCTTGTGTCACAAGCTACTCATGCTAAGGCTGTCGAGATGGCATTCATAGCTAAAGAGCAAATTAGCTAATAAAGAGGTCAGTGATACTACTGTTTCATTTTATGAACTTTCTCCTATATTTTACGGGAGAATCTCTGGAGTAGAATAAAACTGACTAATGAAAAGTCTTATGGAATATATATGCACATATTAAAGCCATATGGTGCAAAACAGAACATCTACCATTCTTTAAAAAGAATTGCAAGAAGGAAATTGGTTACTTTTTATTACTACAGCAAAGAGGTTTCTGGTAGCCCACAAATATTTCTATCTGCTTTGCAAATACAGGAAATGGCAACAGAGAGAAAGGAAGCCTAAAAAGCTAAAGAGCTGTAATTGTTAACCTTTCCTCTTGCTTTCTTCAGGGTATTCTAGAGCGCTTAGATGCTGGAGAAATTGTGATTGGAGATGGAGGATTTGTCTTTGCTCTTGAAAAGAGGGGATATGTGAAAGCTGGGCCTTGGACTCCTGAAGCAACGGTAGAACATCCAGAAGCAGGTCAGTTTTACTGGGAAATGGTAATTTGTAGTCAATGCAAACATGATTGGATAAATAATAAATATATAGGAACTTGTAGTAGTTTTTTAAATTGAAGTATTCCTTGACACTGTAGAATAACACAGTTAAGAACAGCCCAAGAATCTATAGACCAAATCCTTTTCTTGCTCCTTTTTCTTGCTTTTAACACTGGCCAAAGCAGTTGGCTAAGTAAGAATATGAGTAGTGCAAACATACAGTGATACCTCTCCAGAATGCTCTCCTAGTCTTCAATAATAAGCCTCCCCTCTGTTACTGCTTTTTGGTCCTGCATGCTCAAGGGTCATGTTACTTTGAAAGCAGGTGTAAAGAACAGAAGGAGCAACTGGCTGAGCCAGCTGGTGTAAAAACCATGCAACTACCAGACCTGCTTGTCCTTCTAAAGAAGGAGGGAAAAGGAGGGAGGTTCTGAGAATGCAGCAAGGAATGTAGAAAGAAAAAAAAAAGTGAGTTCAAGGCCACTATTTCCATTACAAGAGAAGAGAAGTTTTGCCAGACCGACAAGTTTAGAAATGTGCCTTCTTCTGAGGCAGGTCAGGTATTGCTCTGTAGTAAGCAATGTGCATAGGCACTTACTGCCCCCATGTCCTGTTAGATGAAGTCTGTGTCTTTTGGAAATGTCCAGCTCATGGTGGATTGAAATGAAAACTCTGTGTTATACATCTGACTCCTTAAATACATCAAATTATTAATAATTGCTTAGTCTCATATGGTTGTTATCCCCGTTTCTCAAATAGTAGAGGAAAACACAGCTTCAGTAACATGCTGGAAGTTACACAATAAGCAAATTACAGAGTGGTTTGAGGTTTTGATAGTGCAGATTGCTGTGGGCTTGGTAGTAGTAAAAGTATATTCTACTGGTAAAAATTATATGCTTGGGATTGAATGAGATTCAGACTGATATTTATAATACTGTTCTTTTCCTCAAAATGTAGACCCATTCAAGAGTCTCCTGTCCTGATAGTTTGGGATATGGAGTTCCTTATTCATGTGTGTTAGAGTACGTTTCATTTGCCTACTTATGTGACCATCCTTATTCACAAAAATCCCAAGCATTCTTCTAGGCATGCAAGAATCATATTTAAAGAGCACTAACGTGGGGGTAAACAAATCTGATTTATTTTGGAAATGTCATAGACCATTTGTGGAAAATATTTGTAGATTATTTTTTCCTTTTCCCATTTCTTTACTAGTTTTCATCAATGATTTCTCATGAGGGAGAGCAGAAGAACAAACTGCAGAACATTAGAAACATACAGAGACAGCCCTTTCAGTTGGGATCAGCAGCCTATTTTAATGCTGTGGGAAAAAGAATACTCCCTGCCCTGGGAATGTTTTGACTCTGCGTAAAGGTTGTAAGACAGAAATTTGATCCTGGTTGTTCAGGCAGATTCCTGGAACTTTTTGAACTGTAGCTCTGCTATAATCCGTGTTCCTGAAGAGGTCTCTGTGACTACCAGGAAAGGAATCATTGTGTTAAATCACACTGTTGTTACCCAAGGCCGTGATTAGAAATTAAATTCTGTACTAGTAGAGGAAAGCAAAGGACACTATACTGTTCCTTCACTGAAAGCAGATGTGCTTGCATGTATGCAGATTGACTCTAGCAACTCAAACTGTTTGAGCTTCTCTGGCATAGGCGGCTGTGTTTGTTGCAGCTGAAGGGAGTAATTTTATGCTTCTGACACATTTACACATTTCACTAATCAGACAGATTGTCTGTAGACAATGAGGTATGATAAACCAGGAAAACTTTTTCAAGCATCTGCCACAGAAACTGCAGTGTTCTTGTGTCTGTGTACAGTACCTAGGGTATAAATTATTCCTGTATAAAGCTGTTCAGCAGCATCAGTAGTCTTCTAGAAATTACTATAACTATTGTTCTGTGGGTATACATATAAATCAGTTGATAGCTCCTGTTCTGTTCCTGCTGTGGCCATTGCAGTGTACTTCTTACAGAGGTGAAGGCAGAACTACCATTACAGAGCCAGCTCCCAACATGCCAGTGTAGGAAGTTTGTCCCTTAGAAGTAATGCCAACCTTTCCTTCAAAAGAAGTATTGGCTCTTTAGTAAAATCATCATGTGCTGATTTACAACAAGAATTAAGTCTGTGTTGTAACTTTCAAATAAGGGTGTATTTAGCAAAATAGAGCTTTGGTTTTGGCTGACTAGACTCAGCTAGAGTTTTGTAGGGGGAGAAAACTAGAAAATACAAAATAGAGGAGGTAGTGGAACACTGTACTCTTCCATATAACTATCATCTTGTCCCTTAATTTGTTGCCATGATACTTTCTTCTGTTTTCTTCTTCATAAACTAGAAGCTAAGAAAATAAGGCTTTTTCATTTGGTCATCTCTTTTTCTGGTATTCCTTGTTAAGCTTTTGTGTTCTTTTGTCAAATGTCTGCTTTCCCTTCATAAACCGCTATGTTCTATAAAGGGAAATTTGGAGGTCTGAAGAACTGCAAAAAGTAGAAGGTAGACAAGGTGGCTTGCAAAACTCAAGTCTACTGATAAACCAAATAGAAATCTTCAGTCATTCTTAGCACAGGATAACTAAGGAGAAAGTTTTCTACCTAATGTTCTGAGAGTGAGAAGAAAGGAATTTTACACAGACTGATGTACTGCTTCTGCTCTCTTACAATGGCTCTTCTAGTAAAAACAGTATCACTGTTTTTACAGTAACATTACCATCCAATTGTGGGATAACAACAGTAATAACAGTACCAAACATCTCTTCTTTTTTTGTTTTAATCTTTGCAGTTCGTCAGCTTCACCGGGAATTCCTCAGAGCTGGATCCAATGTTCTGCAGACATTCACCTTTTATGCCAGTGAGGACAAACTAGAGAACAGGGGGAATTATGTAGCTGAGAAAATATCTGTGAGTAGAACTGTTTTGATGGAGATACAAAATAAATGGATTAATTTCAGAAGGTTTAGTAGGAAGATTCTTGAGTACTTTCACAGTTTATCATAACAGTTTTGGCTGTATTTGAGGACCAAAGAATGAAATGATGTGGTTTCAGAGTTTGGAATAGCAAGAAAGACAAGATTAAAGGACAAAAGAAAAATAACAAAATGGGGCAGGGATGAAGAGAGGAAGGAGGATGCCCACATCGTATTTTTCCTATCTGAGGAGATTAGTTTACTGGAGTTTTGATACAAAGAGTATAGGAAGGACTAAATGGACAGAGAGTAAAATCAGTTGAAAAAATAAATGGTTTAACATCCAGAGAAACAAATCATCTGCGAAAATGGTGAAGATTCATAGAGAATAATGAGTGGAATGGAATGCTTTTTAGAAGCATGTTTTAAATAAAGTAACAACTAAAAAATCTGAGCTATACACTATGGTCAATATTCTGTTTCTCATGTGTAAGTGTAATCTGTTACAGCAACAGAAGTACCATGTTGGTGTTTTCTTACCTCCTACACAAAGGAGTTGTAGGATGGTGGGTGTGTTCACTAGGTGCAGGCCCCAGCTCCTCTAGGACTTCTGGCACAAGCTTATCTAGATAGTTCCTTTGAGACTAGAAGGTTTGCCATTGAGTGTTTTCTCTGATACTTTCACCTTTCCTCCTATTTGTTTCAACCTCTGCAAAATAGAGAAGATTCTCCAGGGGACAGGGAGGAAGGAATACCTTTGTACCTGTGAAGATAATCCCAAATCAGAAATTAGAACAATCTGAATACTAGAGAAACACTCGAGGCTTAATTAAAATGTCATATGACCAAATGTATCTGAAATGCTGTACCTTTACGTTCAATAGAAGCAACATTGAAGTGTCTGAAGCGGAGTCCCAGAAACACAGTGCAACTGGAACAAGCTGTGCTGCAACTCTTGCTGCCATGCAAAATGATAAGAAGGGCTGGGAGAGCACCTAGTATTTGGAATGAATTGCAGCAAAGCTTTCAGGATTGATTTGCTGCCAGTTCTAGAAGCAGGTTCCTGCAGGCTTTAACAGGTTTATGGCTCCTCCTCCTGGAGTTCCCAAATATGTATCTGAGTACAAGTGCAAATGGAAGACAGTCTGTTAGCAATAGCCTTAAAAATCAGCTGGGTCTTTTGAGGCAGATATGGAAAACTTAAGCTGAGAGGAACCCATGTAGATTCTAAGTAGTCCACGGGTTGCAGAGAAACCTGCTCTAATCAGTACTTGTTATCTGTTCCAAATAATTATCATTTTCCCAAAATCTTTTTTTCCCAGCCTAACCTTTTTCACAAGCTGTTCTAGTCATTCTCATTTAGGTATAGAAGGAATGTGTCTTTCGGTCTGAGTGATTAATTAATCATATATAGTAAAAAGTTTCCCTTTACTATTCCTAAATTGGTAACTTTAACATCCGATAATTAATGATGTATTTTTTCAAATGCCTCAAACAACTCTAGATGAATATTACATCTTAAATTTTGAAAAATATCAAAATACTACAATACATTTTAAAAAATAAAGAAAAATCAATTTAAATTACTACATATTTTGTTTTCCACCCACAAAATGTCAGAATAAAAGCATATACTTAAGTGGAACTAACTCATTTTCTAAGAGGCAAAGAAAATTCCACTTCACACCAAATACTTGCTTTTTACAGACTATTTGTGTAAGATGTGTTAAAGGGAATATGTTTTTGTAATATTTGATAATATGATAACTTAGAGGTGGCAAGAAATTTGCTTCCTAATGTTTATTATTTTTTTGAAAGATACTAACCTTACTAATCAATTGAGGTTGTTTCACCCTTTTGGCTTGCAGCCAAACCCAGTCTGTTCTCTCACTCTCTGCCTCCCCTCCACCCCCAATGGATTAGGGGAGAGAATTGGAAGGAAAAGGGCAAGGAGACTCATGGGTTGAGATAAAAACTATTTACTAATTAAAATAAAATGATAATTATAACAACAGTGATAACAGAATATACAAATGAGTGATGCACAGTGCAGTTGCTCACCACTGACCAATGCCCAGCCTGTGCCAGCCAGTGATCCTGGAGCAGAGACAGTCCTGAAACTGAAACTGTAATCCTGGAAGAGTGAGCCTGAGCGATCCCCGAGAGCATACCCCCAATTTCTGGTCAGCCCTGGTTAATATACTGACATGACATGATATGATATGGACTATTTCACTGGCACATCCAAATGCCAGGTTTGGGTTTTGCTGTTCACTACGATTCTCCCTCCCAGTCCTGATGCAGCTGTGAAGCAGCCAGACACAGTGGCCTTGAGCTCCAGCAGCAGTTAATAACATTAGTACTTTTATCAACGTTCTTCTCATAACAAATCCCATACTGAAACTAAAACACAGCTATTCTAGCTAATAAGAAGAAAATTAACTCTATCCTAGCAAAACCAGGACATCAATATTATTAAAAATCCTTTTAAATTACAAAATAATATGGAGAAGCCATTATGGCTGTTAAGTCCTTTTGTCCTTTTTGTGCTCTGAAATTACATGCATATGTCTGACCAGGTAAAACTGACATAATCTGTATTCATACAGTGCCAGAAAGTGAACGAAGCTGCTTGTGACATTGCAAGAGAAGTGGCTAATGAAGGTGATGCTTTAGTGGCTGGAGGAGTCAGTCAAACGCCATCTTACTTAAGCTGCAAGGATAAAGCAGAAGTTAAAGGAGCCTTTCGAAAGCAACTAGATGTCTTTATGAAGAAGAATGTGGACTTCCTAATTGCAGAGGTAAATCTGTTAAAAAATAATAATAATAAAAAATACTGGCACAGTGTTAACTTTAAGATGTCTAGTCTGCTTTAAGGAGTACAAGTATATATTGCATCCTCTTTTAAAATTTTCTGCTGTGCTTTTATGCTAGTAGTATCGGGTATTTTTCTAAATGCACAGCAGCATCTGCAAGTGTCCTAGAATAGGGCCTTGAAATCTAAATTTCTGCCTCAGTCTAGCCAAATTCTATACTGGTACAAAAAGGATAGATTAATGTGATCTTGACTATTTCCTGTTTCCTCCCATACCTAGTAAGCAATCAACTCCTGTTTCCTCCCATACCTAGTAAGCAATCAGGTGACCGATTCTAAGGTGACTTTTCTAGATGAAAATAGTTCTTTGAGGATAAATCCCTGATTAATGTGCTGTATGGGCATTCTTATTCTGAAACAAGAGTATAATTATTTTTTATTTAGTCTTAACTTACTAACTTTTTGAAACGCTCTTTCAACTCTGTGGTCAGTGAACTCAGTTGAATTTTATTAGTGTAAATCAGTAAAGAATCAAGTCATTGTATTGCTGGTAAATTTGGGGTCTGTATTAATATGTTTATGCTTCATCTCCAAGAAACAAAAGTAGTCCAGTTTTAATTTCTTTCAGTACTTTGAACATGTTGAAGAGGCTGTCTGGGCAGTTGAAGTTCTAAAAGAATCTGGAAAGCCAGTTGCAGCTACAATGTGCATTGGTCCAGAAGGAGACATGCATGGTGTGCCCCCTGGACAATGTGCTGTCCAGCTGGTTAAGGCTGGTAAGAATCCATTTCAATATGCCCTTTAAAAGTATGGGACAAAGTAAAGTCCTTAAGTATACAGATAAATGGATGTATGTCTCAATTAGATACCTTCCCAATTATACCTGTTGCAAGTTTTGACCCTGTAGAAAAGTTTTTATGTGTACTTTATTAGAGCACTCTTGTAAAGAACATGAAAATGCAGCTATGAAATCCTTATTAACCAGGATGGTATTGGGACTAATAGCCACAGGCAGCTGATACTGAATGGAACAAAACCCTAAACCTACTCAAATTTGGTTCCAGAGACAACCCCAAATTCTGGGCTTGCTGTTAGGAAACACAGGCAGAATCCAAAGCCACCTTTGGTTCTCTGCTCATGTTTTTAGACATATATGAAACACAGTTGAAATCCAGGATGATAGAATAAGAGGATGAAAAACTTAATCTTTTTGCCTATCAACGCCTGTGTTTTCTGCAGGACAAGGGGAAAGGGAGAAGAAATTAATGAGAGGCATGATGAATGATGGTACAGGGATTTATTACATCTGTTCTAAACGACTGTTTTTCTCTAGAGTTAGAGTTAAAATCCAAAGGCAGAACCTGTACAGGTTAGGAACCTGGTAGCTATTTGAATATGTGGCTGTACATAATCAGTCTTCATTGATGAAACACTAATAAGAAAAGCAACTTTATGATGGTGGGAGATGTGTTTCATCATCAGGAAGGTAAAGAGGGGTGCAGCTGAGATGTAAATGGAATGATAACCTCAGGAGAGTTGAGGCCGGCTCTAACCTAACTGCCTTGTTTTAATAATGCTGGTGTAAAGATGGACTCTGCTTCTGGAGTGGTGTGGATAAGAACTTTCACCTCCCACTTCCTGGGGAGATGTGACTTGAAGTTGTTTTCTTCCTCCTAGGTGCTTCTATTGTTGGAGTCAACTGCCATTTTGATCCAGATACTTCCCTGGAAACCGTGAAACTGATGAAAGAGGGCTTGCAGGCTGCTAAACTAAAAGCCCACCTGATGTCCCAACCACTTGCTTTCCATACACCTGATTGTGGAAAGCAGGGTTTTATTGATCTTCCAGAATTTCCCTTTGGTAAGACAAAAGTATCTTTTTTTTTTTTTTTTTTAAAAAAAAAAAAAGGGTCTGTTCCTTTTTCTCCCCAATTTTTAGTAAAGCTGAAGCTGCAAGGTGTCCTGCACAATACAATCAGTCCTGATTATCCTAGCTGGTGTTTTCCATAGAAGGATTGCAGTGTAGCATTGGATTAAAGATCTTCCACATAGAGTATTTCAGTAGTGTCACAGCATGTGACTGAAAGTGAAATTATGATGAAAACAGTTGAAGTGCCACTACCTAAACTCAGTTAAAAAATTCAGTTGTTCTTGTGCTATAGAACCTTAATCAGGACAGCTGTAAACAGTCCAAAGAATTAACAAGAGCAAATATACTATAAGAACCCCAGACAGAAAAGCTTTTGCATTGGAGCTCCCCAGCATTCTGAATGGTACCATCTATCCCACAAGCCCTATAATTTTTACCTGCATAGGGATTTAATGTATAATGCACATGCAGAACTGGATCTAGGTGCATGATTATTGCACTCATAATGGTTCAGTCTTGCAATTACAACTATCTAATATAAGTGAAATTAGAGAGAAACCAGAAGGTTCCTTTATGTTGCTAACAAATGGATTAACAGTTTGAAGATGGATTTATCACATGTATGCTTAGGAGAAATTTTACAAAGACTGAAAGATTCAGACACTTCATGTGTATTAAGGCTTCTGTATTTAGGACTTATTTTCACCTGGGATGTGGAAGATCACATCTCTAAGATAAGAGGACAAAAGCAGCCTACACATTTTAAAATCTATTAGAAATATGCTCTCAATTTCAGGTATAATACACTCTTCTTTTTAAGATCAGACTATAAAATAAGGTATTGAAACATTTTGAACTTGAATTTGTAGCAAAAATTTGGGAGGGAGATGTGATTTTCAGGAAGACTTTTTTTTTTTTTAATTCCTCTCTTTACATGAACTAAGGAAAGCAAATAAAGCATGAGCCTGAGGTATGCATTAAATGATAATAACATGTCTGAGTTCTGAAAATATTCTGGGATTTTTTAAAGTGTTAGGAACTTGTTTACCCTATTCATTCCTTCATATAACTCCTTTGATTGCAAGCAAAAAAAAGATAGAACATATGCAGTAAGTGGTCAAGTGAATTGAAGGATTCAGTCATTGGTTTGTTATTATTCTTGTACGTTATAAGCACTCTATATGAGTGCAGCTTTCAGAAATTTCATGAGTCAGTTGGAGAAGGCTGGTTCTGTGTATGTTTTCAATACCCAGAAGGAGCAACTGATCACTTGACAGCAGATAAGCAGTTTGGTGAATCATTGTTAAACTGACTCACATAACTCTTGTTTTTAGTGGAAGGCAATATGCACAAAGAGGAATTTAGATATTTGAAGTGCACATAGCCTCTGTACAGGCCAACAAGGTAGTTTCTGGCAAACTCCAGCATCTAGATGCCAGCAGTATTTATTTATCTGTAGAACTTTTTCCACATTTCTGTTTTCCCTTCTCTGTTACTGCAATTGCTCTAAAATGTCACCAGTTAAGCAAGGACAGTTTTTTAGAAAGAAATGTCCCAGTCAGTCAAAGCATACCCAGTTATCTCAACAGTAGATATATAAAGGTGCTAAATCTAGGAGCAAGTTACAATCTTCTCATAAAAAATGGATGAAAATTTCAATCTCTTTTTACTGTAAATGTTAACATAAACTGTTAAGCTATAGATCTGTAATTCTGAATAAAGCCAAGAAAAGAAATGCATTGACAGGCATGGAAAAGAAAATGTTAGTCAGTTTTGGGAAAGGGAAAATCCCACAAAATGTGATCTCTGTGGCAGCTTCTCATAGAATACTGCTTGTTTTCAGTTAACATGTTTCACCACTTGTGTGGACAGTTCTTATGGCGATGTTTATGCTGGTTTGTTCAGAGAGGTTAGGTTGTTGCTGTCCTTACACTCCTGAAGCACAAGGACTGATTCATAGAATCATAGAATGGTATGGTTTGGAAAGGACCTTAAAGATCATCTAGCTTCAACCCCCCTGCCATCAGCATGGACACCTTCCACTAGACCTGGTTGCTCAAAGCCTCATCCAGCCTGGCCTTGAACACTTCCAGGGAGGAGACATCCACAACTTGTATGGGCAACCTGTTCCAGTGTCTCACCACCCTCACAGGAAAGAATTTCTTTCTCATGTCTAATGTCTAATGTAAATCTGCCCTCTTTCAGTTTAAAACCATTACCGTTCATCGTATCACTACACTCCTTGATAGAGTCCCTCCCCATCTTTCATGTAGGCCCCCTTGAAGTACTGGAAGGCTACAATAAGGTCTCCCTGGAGCCTTCTCTTCTCCAGGCTAGACAACTCCAACTTTCTCAGCCTTTCCTCATAGATGAGGTGCTCCAGCCCTCCAGTCATCTTTGTGGTCCTCCTCTGGACCTGTATCAACAAATGCACATCTTTCTTATGCTGAGGGCCCCAGGGCTGAACACAGTACTCCAGGTATAGTCTGAGGAGAGTGGAGTAGAAGGGGAGAATCACCTCCCTTGACCTGCTGGCCACGCTTCTTTTGATGCAGCACATGATGTGATTGGCTTTCTGGGCTGTAAGTGCATGTCACTAGTTCATACTCAGTTTTTCTTCCACCAGTACCCTCAAATCTTTCTCTGCAGGTTTGCTCTGCATCCACTCATTGCCTAACCTGTATCCATTTTTGGGATTGACCAAACCCAGGTGCAGAACTTTGAACTTGGCCTTGTTGAACTTCATGAGTTTCGCACAGGCTCACCTCTTTAGCCTGTAAAGGTCTCTCTGGATGGTATCTCTATCCTCTAGAGTATAACCACAATGCTCAGCTTGGTGTCACCTGTAAATTTGCTGAGGGTGCACTCAATCCCACTGTCTGTGTCTCTGACAAAGATTTTAAATAATACTGGTCTCAATACCAACCCCTGAGGGACGCCATTTGTCACTGGTCTCTACCCGGATGTCAAGCCATTGACCACAACTCTTTGAGTGTGACCATTCAGCCAATTCCTTATCCACTGAGTGGTCCACCCATCAAATCCATGTCTCTCCATTTTAGAGACAAGACTGTTGTGTGGGACAGTATCAAAGGTTCTGGACAAGTCCAGCTAGATGACATCAGTTGCTCTTCCCTTATCCACTAGTGCTGTAATGCCGTTGTAGAAAGCCACCAAATTTGTTGGGCATGATTTACCCTTGGTGAAACCATGTTGGCGGTCACCCATCATCTCTGTTTTCCATGTGCCTTAGCATAGTTTCCAGGAGGATCTGCTCCGTGATCTTGCTGGGCACTGAGGTGAGACTGACCGGGCTGTAGTTCCTCAGGTCTTCCTTGTTACCCTTTTTAAAAATGGGGGTTATATTTCCCCTTTTCCAGGCATTTGGAACTTCACCATTTTGCCACGACTTTTCAAATACGATTTATATTGGCTTAGCAACTTGGCAGTTCCCTCAGGACCCTCGATGTATCTCATCAGGTCCCATGCCTTGTGGCACAGTGGGTGATGGAGAAGACAGAGAAACACTCTATACAGTTCCCCTGGAGTTTAGTTGCTTATGCAAGTGTAGATTGAGTGCAAGGTGGTACATTCTTACTGTTGATCACTTTGTATCAATTTTGCTTTAGCTTTTTAATTATATATGATAGACAAGGGAATAATGAATTTGTGCTTCTGTTGCTTTCTCTCATCTTCAGGACTGTACACAAGCTTATTTTTATTTAAACAGCTTTCTAAGATAGCTTCATCCGGTTTTCCTTCTGATATTATACCACGTACCTTTCCTTTGTCCAGAGTATTTCCCTCTGAGACCAGTAATTTTCTGTTTAAGAACTTTTCATTTTTTTCCTTCTGCAATTTATTTTCTGACCCTGTCTCTTAATTACCCATTGGATTTAGAGTAGATTTGCTTTGTAGCACCTTGTTGCACATTAGGCATTTTTGGGAAAGCACAGAGGGAGAAGAATCCTTCCTGTCTGCTGTGTTGTTGGAGCCTTACTACCTCACCACAGCTTCTTTGCCCAGCAGAGTGTTCAGTGCACAGACTTCATGCTGCACTCACCTGATAACCATGCTGATGTGCATAAAGAAGTGCGAGCATTTTTATTCCTTTATTCCTGTATTTTTATTCCTATGGTTTCTTCTTCAGTCCCTGGTCTTTTCTTTCCCATTCTACCATTCCTGTGCCTCCTTCCCTTTGAGGTGTGCTTTTCTTTCTACTTTTTAGTTTCTATTCCTTTCCTTCCACAAGTCCTTCCTCTCAGCTCTGTTTTGCCTTCATTCTGCTCACCACAACCTGCAACAGGGAAAAGGGTTCAAAATAAAGATTGCATCCTAACTTAGATAGACAGAACCTTCCAGAAGGAGCAAAGTGGTTTGAGGCAGCAAGCTGCTTATGGCTGAGATTATAACTAAGTAAGGAATGGGCTAAGAAATAGCTAAAGATCCCAGCTGTCTGTGAAACAACTGGCTGCCATTAACTGATCATGGAAAAAAGTGTAGGAAGCATTCTGGAGGAATAATGACTGGGTTTATTCCTGTTGCAGGTAGGCTGATACATTCTCCTGTCACAGATTGGAGTACTGTCATCAAATTTACCAGATATTGATTGTTTATTAGGAGTTCTTTGGAAATGTGGGCATAACATTGAAAGTACTCCAATACTCCAGCTAAGAACTCTGTCAGAATGGCAAGCGTGTGACTTAGGGCGTAATCATTCTCAGAGGATAATAGGTGCTTTTTTGCAAGGCCAAAAAAAGCTTACAACAAGCATAGCTCTGCAGAGCATAGCAGAATCTAAAAGCTAGACTTATGGAAGTTTGCGTCATTAATTATAGCTCAGACAGTTCAAACATCTACATCTACAACCAGTATTGCAAGCAGCGTGCAGGTATCTCAACAACATGATTTCTTACCAAAAAATGTGCTGAAATGGAGCATGGTGGAAACTTAACATATTGATGTCCTTGCAGGTCTGGAGCCAAGAATTGTAACCAGATGGGATATTCAAAAATACGCAAGAAAGGCCTATGACTTAGGAATTCGTTACATTGGAGGTTGCTGTGGATTTGAGCCATATCACATCCGAGCAATAGCTGAGGAGCTGGCTCCTGAAAGAGGATTTTTGCCAGAAGCATCTGAGAAACATGGTAGCTGGGGCGATAGCCTGAGCATGCATACCAAACCCTGGGTCAGAGCAAGGTATGTATGAAATATGCTGAACTGAAAAAGGACACCAGCCTAGTCCTTGCAAAGGCTTATATTGGTCCATGCAGCAGACTTGCTTAACTGATACGGACGTCTAAATATCACTGTAAACATTCTATGCGTTAGTAATTTTCAAGAATTAAATCTGATCTGGGAGCAGGGAAAGGGATGAAGGGGAAGTAGGAGAGCTCCAGAAATTCTCATCCCTCTTTAAAATGAGGATTTGGTCTGAATTAGTGTGGAAGTGATTCATGAAAGCTAAGATCAAAACTAACAGACTGCTGTAAAACAGCTCGTAATAGTGAGCAGCTAACAGTGTTCCTTTCAAGGATGAAAAGATACTTTTTAAGCTTGTAGCATTTCGTTGCATGATTTCTTTCATACCACTGCATCTAAGTATAAAGTCAGTCTGTGCAAGTTAGATGACCATTTGCAATGGGAATTTAAGCCACATTTCCTTTAGTATTGTGAGGTGCTGGAAAAAACCCCTACATTTCCTTTTCTTTCTTTAGGGCAAGAAAAGAATACTGGGAGAATCTGAAGCCTGCTTCAGGCAGGCCATATTGCCCTTCAATGTCAAAGCCAGATGGCTGGGGAGTGACGAAAGGAGCCAAGGAACTGATGCAACAGAAAGAAGCAACAAGTGAACAACAGTTGAAGGAGCTATTCCAGAAACAGAAGTTCTAAATCACTGCAGTTGTGTAAATGTTAAAATGATTTCTCTACAGACCATCTCATGCTTCACAAGAAAATCTGTGGAGTACCCTGTTGATTTATCAGTTAATGCAGAAAGAATGTGATTACAGATTAAATATGTCAATCTTTGATAATAAATCTTTCTCTGAACAAATAGTTTAGAGAATGCACAGTCAGGAAGATGTTTGGATTCTTATCATAATTAACCTTCTGTTAGCTAGGTGCATTAATTGTGTAGACACGGAAATACATGGAGAGTAATAATTGGCTCAGCTCACCTCTGAAAAGACAAAAAGCCATCTATAAATACAATGTAAATGAACTTCCACTCCTGAGGCTGTTTTCATTTTGGGATTAAGTGGGAGCTTCCTCAGACGTCAGGATTTGCTGAGGGCTACTTCATGGACACACTAGCTGCCAATGCTTCAGCCACACAGTTAACCTATAGTTGCTTTCTTGACTTCAAGAGAATAAAAGTAGACTGGAAAGACATCCTAAAATTGGCATCAAAAGATAAGGAGAACAAGATCTTGCAGGAATTTCTTAAGCACAGCAGAAAGGTTCAGAGAACTTTTAGGAAAGAAAAATGACAGGTAAATATCTCACTGTTTTTGTCTGAGGGTACCACATACACAAGATTTACTCCTCTAGAGACTAAAAGGCTTAAGAAATTATTCTGAATTTTTAAAAATCAAATAAATTAGAAGTAATATGATGGAATAGTATTGTATTATCTTCACATCTTAAATCGTAAGAGCTCAAACAGAATTGCATACCTCTTAGTAAACAACTAATTTTCAAATGATAAAGCTGATTTCTGGATATCTTGTTGGAAATACTTGGTTATCTCAAAACAACACTTCAAAATTGAAGCTTCCTAAAATATAAGTCCTGTTCATAAGACAGTAGAACATTCCATGATTATTTTTTTTTTTAAGCTGACTGATTCACTCTAGAATCGTAGCTCTAAGGAGACATGAAAAGACCTGTTAGGAAATAGATCAATCCACCTAAGTTAAAAAAAACCCATGGACATTTGTATACTGAATTTATTGAGAAGGGTTTTCTTAGGAAGGGTATCACTACACTTGGAACTCATAAAAGACACCTTTCCATAGCTTATTTTTGTGAAATATCACACAACTGAGATTTCTTTATAGAATCTAATTCCCACCCATTCTACATTAAAGCAACAACCTTTACGAAAATACCATTCTTTAAGTTAGTGTTGAAAGCTTTTGTTGGACTACTTTTTATGTATAAGCTTATTTCATTATTTCTACCCATGTTGGTATTCTGCAGTTCAGGAATCATTGAAATATGCAACACTTCAATGGGAAACTCCAGGTATGCTTTTCAGACTGTTATTGGCAGACAGATTTAGAAAAAGCCATCTGCCTTCACCAAGCTTATAGCAGACTGAAATAGTTACTAGCTGGAAATTTTGCATGAAAACCAAAAGAAGACAAATCCAGAAAGTGGATATTTTCAAAAGTAGATTATTTGAAAAGCATCCATATAAGTATATATGTACTACATTACATTCCTTTCCTTCCTAAACCCTTCTGGATGTTTTCGCTGCAGAGAGTGAAATAATGCAAAATCTGTAAAACAAAAAGGCCAGAGTTCTGATCACCACCAAAATGCATGCAGCATTAAAGATGTATGCATGATAAAGTGGCTTAAAATACAAGCTACAATTTATGAAAAAGTGTTTTGAACAATCATTACCTGTTTAGAGATTTCCTGTGACAAAGGATGCAGCTTGACAATCATACACCATATAAGCAGCTAGACTGACTTTTTGGGAACTGTCCAAATATGCAAAAACTTGTATTGAAGTCAATGAGTTCACTTCACAACGCAGAATATTGAAGAACCATGGTATTTAAGAAGATGATCAACTATGTTTTGAAGCATTTATTTTAGATACCCAGTTTAAAAAGGGTTAATTTTAACAGACACTAACGATGAGAAATATTTAAAAGGCTTTTTGAAGCCATTCAAAATGAGAGGTTAGCCCAGGGCGAACCTATACAGTTCCTATTTGATTCATATCAGAGGTTGATCTTAGAAAGGAATTGACAGTGGGATGAAAAACAGTTGTCAGACTGCTTTATTGATCACTACAGAACCCCAAAGTGTAACATCAAAACAGCACCCCCCACCACCAAAAAAAAGAAACAAAACAACCCCCCCAAAAAACAACTCTGAGCAGCAAAGCCAACAAAGCTTTATTTTCCATTTCTTTCTGTGTAACATCTTAGTGTGGGTTAAGGGATCTGTTAGATTTCTTAAAGGTCTCTAATGGTTTAATACATGATTTGTTTAGGAACTAAGACTGACAGCGCAATCATAGGAAGTTTGTTTCCTTAGAAAGTCTGTCTGAAAACTTAGATAGGAAGTAAAAGATACTTCAGAAGGTCAACTCCTGTATTTAGTACCCGAAGGCAGGATCAGGTATTCACAGAAGGCATTTGTTTAACCTGTTTGGAAACACATCTAATGATGGAGTTTCTGTGCCAACCCCAGGCAGTCTGGTTACTTCACTCTTTCTGACAAATTTTTCCTAATTTGAATATTCCTTGATGGAATTTAAATCCATTATTTCTTTCCAGCTCATTACAGACATGAAGCATTATTCACCTTGTCTTTGCTGAAGTCTTGTATACGTTTGTAGGTTTACATACACATTCCTTGTTTCTCTCGCAATTGAAAAGATCCTGTTCATTCATTCTTTCCCTGTGGCCTGAGTCTGTGGTTCATCATAAGCCCAGAGATCACCTCCATCAGATCTTTTTCCTGGTAATTCATTACCTTTTCTTTATGTTCCACTTTATTGAGAGATGGTATCTGGCGTAAGTTTTATGTGAGATATCAATCTCCACTGCATACAATTTAATGAAATTGTGATACTAAATTTCATCAATGGTGTATAACTGTTGTACACAACTCCTGAGAAAGACAGCAATCAAGTACATTCCAACTTTAGGAATCTGAAGATGGACTTTCCATATATGGGGTCGACTTCTATGTCCATTGAAGTTGTAAATTTGAAAAGAAAAGCAAATTTGGTTAACAGAACTTAATGCAATGAGTGGAGAGTAGTTGCTAGGAAATGAATTTCAAAGAAGATAGAAGAAAGGTATGTGTGGAATAGGGAGAAGGAGCATGATTCTATCTCATGACTGACAAAGCAACACCAAATATGCATAATTCAAAAAGCGCTTTACAAGCATTACCAGTTATTGATGGGTAGTTCAAGATGCTTTGAAGCATTAATTTGCAAACATTTGCATGTTTCAGTGCAATTGAAGAAAGAGATCAAGTGACAACTGAAACACAGGAGGGAAATGGTCAAAAGCAAATAAGCCCTCGTTTTCAATTTACCCATTTGCAAATCATGACAGTGGTAGCAAGAGACCAAACCTGTTCAGCTCGGTAGGCTAGTCTTTGCCTGTTGGCAGACAGAGTAGTAAGGTTTATAGTTAGGCGTTATGCAAAATCCTTTGATTGGTTTTTATTTCTAATTAAAAAAAAAAAAGAAAAAAGAAAAAAAAAAAAGTAGGGCAGTTCCACCCAAGAGAAAACAGGAATAAAAAGACTGCACTATTCTTTGGGTCAGGCAGCAGTGTTGTTCTGCCACATTTGGAAGTCTTTTCCTGTAAAAGGAAAGGCTTGTATGCAGGAAAGTTTGCATGTTCTTTTCAATTATGTCAGCTGGCTTGCTGGAAGATTCTGCTGGCTCTTCCTACAGACCTTTCTGTAAAAAGGCATTTCTCAGTACTATCACAGTCCTACAGCTTCATGGAAAATCAAAGGTGTGTCCTATTAAGGCAAAATTTTAAAATCTTGTTTCTCGCTGTATAATTTCTGCTCAGACTTTTTCTATATGATGAAATCTCATCAAATTGTACTTTAAATACACAGGCTGGTAGCAATCTGTGCAAATAGTGCCTCCTGGCGACTCTTGGTATGGCTACAGGACAGGGGAAGGCGCAACTCAAATGCCTTCACAGGTTTGCATACGCAGACAGTAATCAGAAGATCAATTAATTTCTGTTTAATTTTAGAACAGACTTAATTACACCTGTATTTGTTACTTGACAAGGAAGAGTTTTCTCTACAAGAAAAGCTTTATATGTCAAAGCTAATTAAGTCTCCAGTTATGCAATGTTTCAGCCTTACTTCACTGAAAAATAAAAGGGCTGGACTGAAGTTCTTCTGTGAATATGTCCAGGTCAGCTCTTTTTTTTTAAAAGGCCTATAATGTATACAAAGAGATTTTAAATTATAGGGAATGGGACAGTGAAGAAAAAAGTTGTAAGGTAGTTAACAAATGGAAAACCTAAAATACAGCTAAACACTACATTCTCCTTGCCTCCCCTCTAACACTACTCCAAAGTCCCAGCATTATTAGAATACAGAATTTCCAAAGTTTAATTCTTAGTAGTTAAGAAATTTAACCAGATGTCCTTAAATCTGCCTACTCGGGTGTTTGTCCTACACAGTGAATAATACAGAGGCAAAGAAACACTGTGTGTAAGATTAAATGTCATACAACACTGCATCTACCACACAACAAGGCAGAATTTAGCTGATCTGACAGGCAATCAGGGCTGCATCCAGTGTAGCCACTGCTTTCTGCAGGGCCAGACCTTGCCAGGTTTCTGTCTTATATCCTGTCAAGGACATGGCAAGCCTGTCCCATAATTGAACAACAAATTGAGGCTATATTCACAGAAACGCAGAAACACAGAATCACAGAATGGTGGGGTTTGGAAGGGACCTCAGCAGATCATCTAGCCCACCCCCCCTGCCAAAGCAGGTTCCCTACAGCAGGTTGCACAGGAAAGTGTCCAGGTGGGTTTTGAACATCTTCAGAGATGGAGACTCCACAGCCTCTCTGGGGACCATATTCCAGTGCTCTTTCACCCTCACGGTAAATAAGTTTTTCCTTGTGTTTAAGTGGA